CACACCAGGAGACTGTCTCCTCTTGCATTCTGCTCTGTCTAGCTGTTTTGAATGCAAGAACACCTCCTGCATGAATGGCCCTTAGAGATGAAGGTGTGCATCTCATCTCTGCTGCTAGATCCAACTTGGATACTGATTTGGTCTTTATGCAAGCAAGAGTGTGTGATCTGTCTTTGCAGAAATAAGTGCAAGCAGATGGTACTGGCAGTTTTCAAACGCCTAGTCAGTGACACTCCTGTGTATTCACCTTTTGTGGCAGCTGGCACATCACCTTGGTTCGTCCATTGTAGCCTGCATTTCACATAATAATTCACACATGATAAGCTGTCGCTGCTTGACATCATGTTGACTACCCAATAATTTCACACAGATGAAACTTAAATGCAATCAAAAATTCTTGATGATGGAGTTGCAACAATGTTTTGCTTGTTCTCAAACTATCTTCAGTGCACTCACAAAAAAGACATCCACTCATATACATACCCCGTGTCTGAATATGCATTTATCCTAATGCATAATATGTACAAAGCTGTATACTTTATATGGAGAGGTCAGGACAAATGTCTTGGTCCCAATCCCTAAAGCCCACTCTTACACCTGCCCCAAGCTTAACCATACTGAGCTGCTGGTTGGCTTGCTTTTTCATGACCAGTCAGGTGCTGAACACAAAAGAAGATATTTTGGAGAATGTTGGTAACCAAATAGTTGCTGGTAGCCATTGACTTCATAGTATGGAAAAAATGGTAGGCCTAACACTTTAAAATAGGGAACACATGTTCAAGAGTTTTCCCTCAGTAAACTCCTAATTTGCTGCTAATTAATAGTTAGTAAGGTAGTTGTTAAATTTAGGTATGGGTGGATTAAGGGATCTAAAATATGGTCATGCAGAATAAGGCATTAATATGTGGTTTATAAGTACTAATAAACAGCCAATATGCTAGTAATTTGCATGCTAATAAGCAACTAGTTACAGTTAGTAGTGAGAATTACTGTAGAAGTCAATGGCTACCAGCAACTCTTTGGTTACTAACATTATTCAAAGTATCTTCGTTTGTACTCAACAGAAGAAAGAAACTCATACAGGTTTGGAGCAGCTTTAGAGTGAGTAAATGATGACATTTGTTTTTCTTTTTGGGGGTGAACTATCCCCCTAACTGACAGCTTTAATTAGTCTTGTATGCAGGGCCGTTTCTAGGCATAGGCGAGCTAGGCGGTCGCCTAGGGCGCCACCAGCTGAAGGGGCGCCAATGAGCGCACGTACTGTCACTTTTAGCAGGGTTGTGATAAAGAGTGGCATGGTCACCCTGAAATATGACTGCCGCCCCCACTGGATCCCCCAATATTATTGGGCTTGAGTGCTGTCAATCTGACGATGCCTGTATGCCACTGGATCAGAGTGCTGTCAATTGCTGCCTGATTGTTGCATGCAAAGTTTGCATTTGGAGCGCTCAGCAACGCCATTAGATCAGTGGGCTCTGTCAGTGCTTTGGCAAGGTAAAAAAAATTTTTTTGCCATGCAATAAAGCTAAGTTCAAAGGCCAATTTAAAATATTGGTACAGTAAATAAAGTGCTTTACAAATAATGCATTCAGATTTGTGGAACACAATGCACTGAATCTCCACAAATTAGTGTCGTTACTATGACAACCAATTTGAATGTGACAAGCAACTGGTGTCTGAAAAGAATTTTTTATATATATAATTATAATTTGTGGGGGGGGGGGGGGGGCAATAGGGATCTCGCCTAGGGCGTCAAATTGGCTACAAACGGCCCTGCTTGTATGGGTGCAGTGAATAGGGGTATTTAGGATTAAGGTCTTTGCTTTAAGTTCACACGAAAACAGTACCATCAAACAGTTGAGTTGCAGGTATGTGTGTAAGATTGCAACGCAGGCAGTGGAGGCACGTGAAGCCTCAATGGTCCACTGATGAGAGCGATGACGCACTCCAATTTGAAAACCGTCTGCCTCACTGCGGGAAGAGTGCAGCGCTCTGCGAATGTGCGATTAGGGCTAAATGACTGTGTATGTGTGCACCCGCGCAACTGTGCGACTTTGCATACGCAATTCATAAACTCTCCAAATGTCTGTGGCGCCGGAATCTGCCAAGAATGTGACTCAAATATCTCACATCTCCTCTCACTCCTCTCTGAATTTTATTCACCGCTTCACACACTATTTCAGCCCTGCTGATGTCTCTTGCAGTCTGTCTTTCTCTCTCCGTCTCCCTTTTCCCTTTCAAGTTTTAACGTCAGCCACTGTTTCTTTCATCCTTTTACGCAGAGCAGTATGAGTTTTACAGCACTCTCCTTACACATGTGAAAGCATATCAAAACATATGAGATGAAAACCTATCAGTGTGTTTAAGAGATGAATGGGAGTTGATGCATCAAATCAGCTCCCCCTCCATTTTTTATTTTCATCCCGCAACAGATAGTCTTGCTGGCAATCATTAAGGAGGACATCATTAAATGCTGGGCCTCCAACACAAATCAATCCTTAGGTTCATTATTCAGCCACACTGGGCCCTGAACACCTATAATTAGGCCCAAAAGATGGAGAAAAGAGGAGAAGTCAAGGATGATGAGTGATAGGTAGGAAAATGTGACATTCTCATATCAAGAAGAGCTGGAGAAAGTGAGGAAAAGAAGGGAGTGAATTGGAAAACGAGGGGTGAGAGAGGAGCTGATGACGTCAGACTGAGCAGAAAGACCGAAAGAAGAGAGAGTGTGAAAAAGCAAACAGAATATATAACAGATAACGAGAGCTTTGAGCTGTGCTGAACTGCACGCTAGACAGAGTTGTGGGAATATATTAAAGTTATTGCTAATTTATACCGAATGAAACCCCAGCAGCAGCTAGAAATTAGAAATGTGTGCTTATAAGTTTGTAATCAAGAGAGAAAATGCAATTGCAGCTGACAAAAGTCTGCATATTTCTGCATAAATGCACTGAACAATACATCACAGGGGTGTTCATGTGTATGTGTCAATATGTACCAGTAACCATATTTATTTGACATTTCTTTCTCATGGGGGCGATTATCAACACTTCCAAACTCTTGCTGTGATGAGCAACTTCCGGTAAACTCACTCACTCACACACACACACACACACAAAAGAAAGTAAGTCGTTGCCCGTCCCATTTCTTTTTCTTCTTCACACATATCCCCCATTCATGTGATTCAGTGACTCATTCTTAATCTAATATTCAGCGATATTGATGTGGTCGCCACCCCTCAATTGCCATCCAACTTATTGTGTCTCATTGTTGAGTAGCGTGGCCGACAGCCAATGGGCACGCAGATGGTGGGTGGGATGATGAAGCTACTATTTGCATAACTGTACTAAGTCCAATGGGGGCATCGAGATGCAGATGTCTTACATTCAAAGGCCTTATGCATCATAAAGACTTATGCATCATAATTGGCCATATAGAGTTTACTCAGTTTGTTGATTGATTCACTATTTGAGTAATAAATTAATTGTAGTCTGTCAGAAGCTACAAAATGCAATCTGCAATCTTGCAATCATGCAACACAGACGTGATTCACATCACACCGATAGCAGCTGACAAAAGTCTGCATATTTCTGCATAAATGCACTGAACAATACATCACAGGGGTGTTCATGTGTATGTGTCAATATGTACCAGTAACCATATTTATTTGACATTTCTTTCTCATGGGGGCGATTATCAACACTTCCAAACTCTTGCTGTGATGAGCAACTTCCGGTAAACTCACTCACTCACACACACACACACACACAAAAGAAAGTAAGTCGTTGCCCGTCCCATTTCTTTTTCTTCTTCACACATATCCCCCATTCATGTGATTCAGTGACTCATTCTTAATCTAATATTCAGCGATATTGACGTGGTCGCCACCCCTCAATTGCCATCCAACTTATTGTGTCTCATTGTTGAGTAGCGTGGCCGACAGCCAATGGGCACGCAGATGGTGGGTGGGATGATGAAGCTACTATTTGCATAACTGTACTAAGTCCAATGGGGGCATCGAGATGCAGATGTCTTACATTCAAAGGCCTTATGCATCATAAAGACTTATGCATCATAATTGGCCATATAGAGTTTACTCAGTTTGTTGATTGATTCACTATTTGAGTAATAAATTAATTGTAGTCTGTCAGAAGCTACAAAATATTTACACAGACGTGATTCACATCACACCGATATCTTTAATCCGCAATCAGTGCAAGTTGTAATGCAAACAGGCTGAAGATTGAGCATTGGAAGAAAAATGAAGCAGCCTGTTGGCTCTAGTTCTCATGGTAGATTTACTGTGGAATTGAGAGAAAAAGCACTTGAGTCTCTCACCGGGACTCACACGTATGTGTGTGTGTGTGTGTGTGTGTGTGTGTTAAGCACAGCCTGCCTTTACACATGGTGGGAGACTGAAGCAAACTCTCTCAATCTTGCTGCTCTTTCAATGAGAGCCAGCTGCAAAAGATAGTACAGCTTTAGAAAGACAGAATGATAAAGAAAGGCTTTCTGAATCTGAATTAACAATAACCAATTCAATACCACAGCTGGAGTGCTTTGCGAATACCTTTTCCATTAAATACATCATCCTTTTGCATCTTTTTGTCAGCCTCAGGGGTGCGTTTACTCGTGTTAGCCGGTGTGTACACGTCTTGCATACTCTGCAACTCTGAACTAAGCTCTGAATGGCAGCCAGTGCGTTGCATGGTAACTGCATGTTATAGTGAATGATTTTGCCTTCAAAGAACTTTGCAAGCGGTGAGGAGTAGATGTGTGTGTGTGTGTGTGTGTGTGTGTGTGTGTCTGTCTATTTGTCTGTCTGTCTGTATGTGTCAAGGGAGGTCAGACTGAGAGATGCGAGGGAGAGAAGACACATGTGAGATTTTACTGTAGAGTCGTGGCCGTTGGATGAAGATATAAAGAAAGTACGCCCACACCAGAGATGTTTCGTATTCACAGATAAGCATTTATTCTTTTGTCATGCTTTCTGTCCATCATTTTGTGTTGTAGTGAAAAGATTGAACAGCTCATTCTTTCACATTCTTACATTCAATTGCACATGATGCATACATTCTGGGTAAAAAGGTATAACTAATGCTTTGGTCATCTGTGAGCAACCTCACAAACATGGTCACTCGAGAGCACCTTAAGGCAGTTTGACCTTACCCGTTCTGTTGAGATATACATTGACGCATCATACAAACATTTACAAGACATAAATATTTCATAGAAACATCTGTGGGACAGAAAGATCAGTATTATTTGTTTCAATACTGTCTCAGGGTAAACACAAAACAGGATATTGCTAGAATTAACAGTAGATCAAAAAATGTTTCCTATCTTTACCTATTGTTTTAAGGAACTTTAGATTGCATTTCTCTTTATCACCATCCTTTATCATCCATCTCTTTGCCTTTACCACCCACATCCACCCCTGCTTTCCGTGCATTTCTTTTTCTCTTTCTCTCCTTTTTTCTCTCTCATCTTGTCCTTGCCCTGTTTGTTTTCCCTAAAGCATTTTGATTCTTTATTGTAATTCGAAAGAGGAGGAATAGGCAAAGACCACCAAAGAAAGCCATTGCCTTCAGCAAGCCCACCAAGAGCAGCCCAGTCTGTATTTGCACCTTCTCTCCTCCCATGTTCATGACCAATGGTAGACAATCTGAATGTCGACCAATCTGTCAGTAAGTGCATTTTTCTGATTTTCCAATCAGCTTTTCCACAGTAGTCAATTCATTTCAAGAAACAGCCTTTCCACATTGTCCTTCATATATTGCCTTGTCTTGGATTCAGTCCTAGTTTTAGCACTTTGCCAATTATTTATTTAAAAAAAAATTTTTTTTTTACTATAGCTGCAAGCTGTTGACTGGTTTGATTTAAAATCTATACTTTAAATGAGAAAGGATGGAATTTGCGAGAATATACAGATACAATCTGTTAAACTTGAATTTGAAAAGACGAATAAACAAAGGAAAGTCTTGGAACAATGTAGATAATGTATTTTACAGCAATGACTCAACATATTAACAGTATTTTAAAAACATACAGTATAAAAAAAAAAGAACATTCACACACTCTCACATCATCGACTGATCTTTACATGCACTGACCATAGAAATAATATCATAGACGTTACTCACAGTGACATTCTTGTCCATTCAGAACAGTGACAAACATAAGGCCTTTCATAGCATTATTTACAGCTCCCTCTGCCAAGATGTCATATTTACACAAGTGATAATTGCTGTCATAGCTGGTGGGTGATGTAATGAATTATTTCGCCTTCTCTTGTGCATGCTCTCTGTCTCTCCTGTGCATGCTTTCGCTCTCTCTGTGCATCTTAAATTATAGCTGTATTATAGCAACACCGCCGTGCACACCGTTCCTTTTGTGCTTTTCGAGCCCTGAATGATTTTGAGACCCTTCTGTTATAATAGATGAAATATAACATTCGATCGCTGCGTTCCAAAGGGAATCAAAATATTTGCTCATTATGCTATTGTTACAAACTAACTACTGAAATAATGGAGCTGTAGCGTTGTTAGAAAGAGGGTGTCATAGTGACATTACAAGCTATAATTACAACTTTCATAGAAGCACTTAAGAGTGGCTAAAAAGTCTAAAATCATACAAATATTGTACGTAAACCTAAGATGGAAATGTCTATCCTCTGTCTGCACTGACTATGACAGAGATGGCTTAGAATACACTTGTCCTCAAAAAAAGAAGGACCGAGTATCTGCCTAACTGACCAAGCCCACTGAACAGCTTTCATTAGTTTCCATTAAGGGCCTGCACTGCCCAACGTTCCCTGCTTACCCACTGTATCCTAAATCAGTCTAGTGCCCTCTAGATACCAGGAACTAGAGGCTCAAACTGAACAGAACAAAGATACAGGTGAGGCTGATAGTAAGCAGGAATCAAGGCATTGAAGAGTTAAATTGAGCAAACAGGATTTTTCCTCCAGAGAGGAGAAAAAATGAGGGGGAAGAGGGTTCTTCTGAGACCGACAGATTCAGCCAAACAGAAGATGGATGCAGACAGTCAAGACAGACATGGAGAGTAGCAAGAGAACAGAAGATGAGGAGCGAGAAGAAGAGGAAGATGGTGGCAGAGAGTCGAATTCGGGAGGGCACTCAAGCTCAAAGCAGCGCAGAGAGGTGATGCCCGCATCTTCATTGCCATAGTTGGCCCAGTACTCTTCTGGGTCAAGCTTGGGAAGAAGAGCCTCTTCCTCCCCAAGCTCATACTTTGTGGATGTAGATGTGATTGAGGGATGTTGTGACTTGAAGGGGTATGCCTTGGTCTCGGAGCTCTTCTCAAAGATGCCCTTTGAAGTGCTGACTGGCTTGTGCTTGGAGAACCACCAACGGGTCTTGGTGCTGAAGGTGGTGGTGGTGGTACCAGAGAGGGAGCTGGGGTCAGGAAGTGGGCACAGGGCGAAGTCCATCTCCCTCAGGAAGCGCAGGTCCTCTCCACGATGAGAAGCAGGTGAAGCGCAAAGAACCTCGGAGCTGGACAAACGGGCGCCTCTGAAGAACTCCCACAGGGGACGAGCCTCGCAGCCGCAGGCCCAGGGGTTGTTGTTCAGCCTCAGGAACTCGATGGAGGTGATGTCACGCATGGCTTGACCGGGCAGCTCTGCCAGGGAGTTGTTGAAGAGGAAGAGCATGGTGAGTCGGCCCAGGTCCCGAAAAGCACGGCGATTGACCTGACGGACCCTGTTGTCGTGCAGCAGCAGACGGTCAAGGTTGACCAGGCCATGGAACACATTCTCGGACAGAGTGCGGATGCGGTTGCCGTGCAGGAAGAGCTGGCTGAGGTTGATCAGGTCAGCGAAGAGATCGTCCTGGATGAAGTGGAGCTGGTTCTCCTGCAGGTAGAGGAATTGCAGGCTGTAGAGCTTGTGGAAGATATCATGGGGAAGGGCGGCCAGCCGGCAGCGGTGCATGTGGAGGCTCTGGAGCTTCTCCAGGCCACGGAAAGCTCCACCCTCAAGGCGGTGCAGGTGAGGGTTGTCGCCCAGATCGAGCTCCTCCAGATCGCGCAGCTCGCTGAATGCACCGGCCTCAATCCAGGTGATGTTGTTGGAGAAGAGCCACAAAACCTGGTATGTGATGAATTGATAGAAATAAAGGAAAGGAAAGGGTAGAGAGAGGAAAAGGTAATGAGGTGAAGATATTGAGAAGGAATACAAAATTAGTAAATAAGACAGTTAAAAGGACTGGTATGTCATAAATATACTCTTAAATGTATATTTACAAATGTAAATATTAAATGTTTTATTCTGTCCCACACATAGAACCTTCATTCACATCCTTACCTGTGTGCCAAAAGCAAAAGACCCCACTCTCAGTTCAGTGATGCGGTTGTTCTGCAGAAAAACGCGCTGGGATTCGTAGGGCATGCCGTGGGGCACAATAGTGAAGTTCTGCGCCTGGCAGCTCACTGTCATGGGGGTCGGGTAACACACGCACCGGTGAGGGCAGTTCTGCGCTGGCACGGGTTTTACCACGAGCAGCCAGACAACCAGCCAGAGGGAGAGCGTGCCTGATGGAAAGAGAGGAGTGCATCACATTACAAAGTCTTAATAACTAACGCGCAATTTCCCTGCTCATTGTCTATAGAAGAGAGCTCTCCAAAATGGTCTTTACGTCTCATATACATTCATTCATGATAATAAAATTATTTGATGTTGAAAAATTCACGAACCTCCAAACGAATTTCTACAAATGTACTAAAATGTTTTCATCATTGTAACAACATATTGGTTTCCATCCATTTACGTTATGACAATAATTTATCTCATTAACACATGATTTTAGAAGTTTTCGGAGTTTCAGCTCATAAGTAATTCAGTTTGAAGCGGTCGAAAAAGTGCGATTTAGCTTATCATTGCAGGTTGTACCTTTGATTTTACTTACAAATTTAATGTAGCAGTTTAACATTTTTACAACCCACCATTCCGAACATTATTCTCTCTATCTCCCTGAATCTAAATATAATTCCAAGTTTAACTTTAAACTTTTAAATATATGCGTACATTTGGTAAGACTCTGAATAAAATCATAATTTAAAGCACTGATACATAAATGCAAAATATTTTACGCATCAAACACAAAATATATTCTAACCATCTGTAGCTGCATAAAACCAAGCATTCTCGAAAGCCTGTTTGATCATATTCTAAATCCTTAAATTATTTTTAAATGCATTTCCATTACTTAGAATACTTAAGAAAGTTCAGCATTTCAAAAGCATATTCACAATAAAGATGAACAGAGAAGAAGCAGAAACTCACTCTTAAAGCTGTGCGCAAAAGAGCTGCGCTGGCTCCGCGTAAAAGTTGATGTTTCCATTCCGAACCAAAGCCGAGAGCGAGTTAGCCTGAGGAGTTTAGCAACTGATTCCCTGCTATCTCCGCTGATGCTCTGGTTCCTGAGTCGGAGCGACTGAGAGAGTGCCGAATGATGGGTCCCGGTCTCAATTTATACCTGAGCGCAGCGCGCGCCTACGGCTGTGGGCACCACGGAATCTCTCCTACGTCACCAGTCGGGTCAAGCCCAAGCGAGGGTGGCAAACGGAAAAGGCGGTGCGGAGAGAGGAGGGGAGGGCTCTCGCGTACCAGTTTGGACAGAGGGAAGTCAGACGTCTTAGCTCAGAGTTACGATTGTGGAGACGTAGTTGGAAAGGGAGGGGGAGCGCAGGCACGGCGCCCGGTAATGACTGAACTGAGAGCATGCGAGGAGGAGCGCACGAGGCACATGAAAGAAGCACACAGCTCGTTTCTTGGCTTTGCATATGCCTCCCTTTGGATTATGTTGTCCTCCGCATTATCAATGAGATGCCTGAATGAAACAAACGCATTGTTTGCAGGAGAGACTTTATGCTCTAGGGACACAAGTCATGACTTCAATATAGAAAGATGAAGCTTTAACACTGAGTTAATCATTAAGGGATTTGATAATGGGTGACTAAAGAATGCAATTACTGTCACTTACTGGAAGGAAAGACAAACCAATACCAAATTTGGTTTCAGCATCTCCTATATGGGCAGCTTCCTGGAATCAGCCAAACTATAAGCCATTTTCCTTTGAGTATGTTATTTACTCCAAAGCTTTCTGCTTATAGGTATAGACTGTGTTCACAAGTTCACACTAGTTCATTCAAGGTTCACACAGAATAATTAAAATAAATAATTACAGATTTTGTGACAATTATATAATCATTGCTTTAAAAGTGTTTATGTGAAAAATTCTTATGCTCATACAGCACAATTCCTTTATAACACCCATGTAAGGGATCATGTAAAGTCAGCCATTCATTAATGCAAAATAAAGCCAGACAGGTTGATCAGGACCCTGGCACAAAAATAAACAAATAAATGGACATGAAATATTTAAATATTTAAAAGGTACACCTTTGTACTTAAAGGTTCCATATTGATACCTTAAAGGTTTTGTACCTTTTCTTCTGAGAGTGTAGACTATGAAGAGACCAAACAGAAGCCCAGCTTTGTAGGAAACATAAGATTTCAGGGTGAGTGGTCAGTTACACAGCGCTTCCCTGGACATTAGTCAATATTTGTCTGGTCAGTGCCACGACTGCCCAATCAGAATCAAGTATTCCAGAGATCTTTGTAATAAACAGACAGACAAACTGAAAGACAACAGAAGACCCGAGGATGTCCATGTTTTTATTTAGCACCTCCTCCATTCGCTCATGTTCTGGACACTTCTTTCTTTTCCTCCCTCCCTCTCCACCTCCACAAAAAACACAAGATGACTGGATGAACAGGCTTTCCCCGCTCCACCTACACCTACCAGCTGGATGTGTGAGTGTGTGTGAGGGTTTTCATGTCTCCTGTATATTACCCTATCGCCAACAGTCAGCCGAATGAATGCCATGACTGACAGCTTCTGGGTTGTGGTACAGTTGTGTATGAAAATGAATTACAAAGCAACAACAAAAAGACTGTGACGGAGGAAGGAAAAGACTAGGAGGAAGTACAAAGTGTGGTTGCAAAAGGGGGTTTGTGGAGTTAAAAGCAAGGCAAAGAAGCGACACATGACTCATAGATAGTGGAACGAGAGGGATATGGGACTGCACTTAGAGGGATGTTGCGCATAAGGCTTGATTAGTGTGCGGGCCAGCAGCCTAATGCATTAAAGCTGTATCCCTGTAGTGTTCCAAGAGTGGCTTTGTAGTGCCCTAAGGGAGTGCTCTACAGTGGCAGCCCACATATAATGACAGATTTGCTTTGCCCTGTTGCATAGAGATAGCAGAATAAAATCAGCACTGTTAACTTTAGAGTCCTGCGTCATGAACCTTATTAGTTTGCTGTGCGTTGGAGAAATAATGGAGGGCGGAGGGGAGGTTTGGAGGAGTCTGACCCCCAAATTTAAGGGAAAGTTGACCCAAAAGTGAAAATTATGACATCATTACTCACCCTGATGTTGTTTTTAAACTGTATGTCTGTGGAACACAAAAGAAGATTTTTTTTTTTGATGGTGAGTACATGATGACTGAAATTCTTTTAAGAATTTGGCTACTTTAAAGGAGTCAAATAAAAAGGTTTTGGAGTTGCATTGACATGAAGAGATGCACTCTATTTATTGACAAAAATAATTAAATTAAACATTACATAACATATATTTTTTTTCTCCCCTTTTTTACCTAATAATTTTTAATAAAAATTTCATAATTTTATTTTTGACGTGCTACTTCACTGGTGACGTATGCTGACGTCTCCAATCATTTAGTCTGCTTAAACTCCACCACTTACTTAACTATCAGCTGCAAACTCGCATTCAGATCTGCTTTTATCCAATGAACGCTTGATGGATAGAAGCAAGCCCCGATCATTCTTTTCTTTTTTGATAGACTGTTTCACTCAGATGTCCGTCACAATATGAAAGAAAAGATCTGTCACTATTTCCGTTTCATCACAGCTTTAATTTACCAGCACCTCAATGTTAAATTAATTTCTGTGTTAATCACACAAAAAAAAGACACACACAGGAATGAAACATAATTGGGAACAGTTTACTCCCTTCCAAACACTGACTATCCATTCAGGTTATCTCTTACACCCAAATTGTATTTCTCTAGACACAGTGAACTGCCAAAATACAATTTGGATGTGAGAGACTAACAGAAATGGATCATGCCCTAAAATGGTCTATAAATAATGTTTTTTTAAAGTCATTTTTTTAAATGGAAATACATATTTAATTTAGGAATCCGTTGTTTTAGTATCATTGATGTACTATTACTTTTTGTTAATATTTTGAATTAGGCTCTGTTTTTATTTAGTTTTTACTTTAAATTTAGTTAAAGTTTTAGTAATTTTGTTGTGCGTTTTGTTCGTCATTTTAATTCGTTTTTGTAAATGAACTATTATTATTTTTTAAATGTCTATATAATTTATTAATTTATTTATTACTTTTAGTTTGTTGGTACCTCAAGTTAAACAAAAAAAAGAGAGAAATGTTGTTATAAGTTTTTAAATATTTTATTTAATTTCAGTAAAGATTATTTAGTTTCATTTGTTTTTTTTTGTTGTTTTTTTTTACTTAACAAAATAACCCTGTTAGGAATGAGGACAAAGAAAAAAAATTTAAATAATGAGTCTATCTATCCTTGTTGTTTATATCAGGAAGTGCAGTGAGGAATGCTGTATTTATGTACATTATGGACTAAGCTCATATACTGAGGCTATCACTGTTCTCTTCTTGTGTAGTAATTTCCTTAGCTCTGCTTGTCTGGATACAAGAATTGTTACAACAAAGCCCAGAGTGCTGTAATCAGGTTTCAGGAGAATCGAATGATACACAACCACAATCAAATGTTAAAAACCCCTGTGGTACCTTCACAGTCCCCCTTTACTCTCTCTCTCTCTTTCTCTATATCTCTGTTTCCCCTGCTTGCTCATTATTTCTTCGTTCATAAACTCTTTATGTCTTCAAACCCAGAATGTTCTGGATCAACACTATAGCTTTGTTCAGTGTACTATTCATACAATATATGCAGCTGTGCGAACTGAATAACAATACTACTGTCTTTACTAGAGGTAAAAAATGATATAAATACTGTTCGGTTTCTGGCACAAACCGATCGTTTCGTGTCTTAGGACATCAATGTGTCGTCACGAGCCGCAGGGTTTAATTTGGATTTGTCTGTGCATGTTTTTTTTTACTCTCATAGATTTTGTTACCATTGCCATGCATTATACGACTGATAGACTGCAAGGTTTAAAGTTAAAAATCATCAAATGTGTTCTACTGAAGAAACAAAGTCACCTACATCTTGGATGCCCTGGGGGTAAGCAGATAAACATCAAATTTTCATTTTTGGGTGAACTATCCCTTTAACTCACACAGATCTGCACTTATAGGGCAACTATCACTGTCAAAAGCAGATCTTTATGGGGCTTTGTGGGTTGTTCTAAAGACATTTTTGTGAAATGCTGAAATGCACCAGATTAAACATTCATTAAAGCTGTACTAGCACAACTTCACTTCAAAAGTTCACTCACCTTTGCCTTTTCATTATTACTTCATGCATATCTTGAGTTTGCTGAGAAATGAATTATGAAGGTATTTTAATGAAATACTGTGCACCACACGTTCTGTCCTCCTGAATTGTGTTGTCATTATTTATTTCAGGTGCAGTTCCATTTCAATTTGCAACTCTTCAAGCGAGTAATTCCTAAAAGATGTAATTCAAGAAATATTCATTTATGTTCTACTAATAAAATAAGATGTCTGGATGCTAAATTAGCACTTTGGAATGGTGTTTGTGTGCAAAACAGCATCCATTTAGACTTCAGGATCAATTGCTAACCTGATGCAAGGCAAACATAATACCGGGAACTTTCTAAAGACTGGTGGTTGTGCAACTCCTGTGAACCATAATAGCTTGTTTTGACAATTAAGTGTGAAATTGGTTAAAATAAGAAATGCAAAGTGGACTTTATACAGAACTCAAAGACGCTGGTCTGTTAGTTTTTCCACCAGGCTTACTAACTACATTAACCAGCAAGACTAGATTGGTTGAGCAGCTTCACCAGAAAGAATATGATGGTTCGCCAGCTGCTGTATGTGTGTAGGACCTTAATTCATTTATATATTCACATATTTGAATTTGTGTACAATTCTGATGTGGTAGTATCAAGATCCTGTTAATGTAAACTGTCATCACACCTACACTCATCAATTAATTCCATTAATATTTATGAATATTTACAGTCTATAGGTGTAAATAACTTCTAAACATGCTATCCATGTTTAAGAATGTCTGTAGCAGCAAATATAATGGATGAAGTGTCTCTTAGATTTCTCTCATATGACTCTTCTATAATTGTCTCTATTAGATGTCACTTGTATGACTACTTAGAAAATCTGCCCCAATAGCCCCTCTGAAAATGTGCTTTGATTGCTTTG